GACAGTGGTAGGAGAGCGGTATGGGGGATATCCAGATGTGGACTTCAGGTTTAAAGCAGGAGCCAATCCTTGTGAATACAGTTCGGTACAGAGATGAACACAGAGTTTATCTGGGGCTGGGGTGTGTTACTGGAAACAAAAGATGCTGAGGATGTCTGCTGAACTGATGGCCCACCAGGTCCACAGGCTGAGGTCTATTATTGTTCATAAAATGTAGTGTCTTGTGGGCAGGGCTGTGGGCTTCTTTTCTACTGTAGCATTGCTCTGCTGTTGCTAACCTTCTCCTCAGGAGAGGGGACAGAAGAGCCTCCCTGCTCGGGCAACAGGAAATAAAACACTGGATAGATGGGAGGAGGAGGAGTCTGGATGAGTGGTCAGAGAGAGCAGTTCTGGAGAGGGCCTGCTCCACAGTGTGGCCAAGGGCTTGGGGGCTGAGGAGGAAGTGAGGAAGGGACCAACCAACCTGGGTTTGGAAAGACTTTCCTAATCATGCTGCTAGAAGTCCCACAGCCCTCTGGAGTGGGCTGGGGTTTGTCACTCCAAGCAGAGGTGTTGGTGAGTAGTTTGCAGAAGCAGCCACCTTCCATGATGGATCGCTTTCATGGACACTGTCATTTTTTGCCACACTCTTGTGTGACCCTCAGATGTCTTTTTGTTGTTGTTGTTCCATCTATAAAACAAGTTCTTTTCCTAGCCATGGACTCTAGGAATAGCAGTTGTACTAAAAACAGTAAATATGGGGCCTGGAGAGATTACTCAGTCATTAGAATGTCTGCTTTATAAGCATGAGGACCTGAGTTTGAATCTCCAGCTTTTATGTAGAAGTGGGGTGTGGAGGTACACAACTCTAACTCCAGTGCTGGGTAGGCAGAGATGGGCGGATTTCTGGAGTTCTTTGGCAAGTCTGCCTAATCAAAGTGACGAGTTCTAGGTTCAGTGAGAGAACTTGCGTGGTGGTGCACACTTTTAATCCCAGTACTTGGGAGGCAGAGGCAGGCAGATCTCTGTGAGTCTGAGGCCAGCCTGGTCTCCATAGCAAATCCAGGCCAGCTGGGGCTAAAGACTGAAAAAAAAAAAAAAAAAACCTAATAAGGCCCATACTTTTTCTTTTGGTTTTTTTGAGACAGGGTCTCCCTGTAGCTCCAACTGGCCTGGAACTTACTATATAGACCAGACTGGCCTCGAACTCACAGAGATCTGCCTACCTCTGCCTTCTGAGTGCTGAGGTTAAAGGCTTGCCCCACCATGCCCGGCTTAAAGTGCATACTTTTAATCCCAGCACTTGGGAGGCAGAGGCAGGAGGATCTCTGTGAGATCAAGGCCAAACTTGGTCTACATAGTGAGTTTCAGGTCAGCTGGGGCTATAGGGAGACCCTATCTCAAAAAATATAAATTAATAGTAATAATCATCATTATCATAATAATAAAATAATGTGTGGGGCTGGAGAGATGGCTCAGCAGTTAAGAACACTGATTGTTCTTGCGGAAGACCCGGGTTCAAATCTCAGCAACCACATGGTAGCTAACAACTGTCCATAACTCTAGTTCCAGGGGATCCAACCGCCCTCTTCTATCCTCAGAGGGCATTGCACAACATGGGTGCACTTACATGCAGGCATAACACTCATACACATAAAATAAAAATAATAAATAAAATATTAATGTTCAGGGAGCTAGGGAGATGGATCAGCTGGTAAAAGCACTTGCTGGGCAAGTATGATGATCTGAGTTCAAATCCCTAGCACCCACATAAAAAACCAGGTGTGAGGCTGGGTAGGCGGCACATTCCTTTAATCCTAGCACTTGGGAGGCAGAGGCAAGGCAAATCTCTGTGAGTTCAAAGCCAGCCTGGTCTACATCGTGAGTTCCAGGCCATCTGGGGCTACAGGGAAACCCTTCCTCAAAAAGCAAAAACAAAACAAAACAACAAAAAACAGGTGTGACTGTGCTCAGGACCTTAAGCCTGGAGCTGGCTGCTAACTGAACTCCAGGTTCAGAGAGAGACCCTGTTTCAGGTGGATAAGGTGGGACATGATAGAGCAGGACACTGATGTCCTCCTTCAGCCTCTGTGTGCAGGCCCATGTGTGCATGCCTGCCTACACATGTGAATACACCACACACACACACACACACACACACACAATTTTATTAAAAAATTAAGGTGGAGAGTGATAGAGGAAGACACCGATGCCTTCTGGCCCTCATATGTCCGTGCCTGGACACCTATGTACATACGTGCCTATACAAACAAGTCTGTATACCCTAGAGACACACACACAATATTAGAACAACAACAACAAACCCATTAATTATTTCAAGGGTTGGAACCCTAAAGTATGGCTGCAGTAGAATTTCTTTTTTAATTCTTTAAGAATTTCCTACATGTACATAGTGAAATATGATTATTTCCGCTCCTTCATTTCCCCTCTCCCACTTCCGCCAGATCTTCCCCCACATGTCCATCCCCTAACTTCATGTGCCCTTCTCTTATTTAAAAAAATAACCCACTAAGCCCGCTTAGTACTGCCTATATGTGTATGGACATGGGGTCACGCACTGGAGTGTGAGTCACCTACCAACGGCCAAACCCCCAGATAAGAATGATTCTCTCTCCCCATCAGCAGTCAACTTTCATTAGCTCCTCAGTTAGAGGTGGGGCCTCCTGAATTCCTCCCTCATCTGTGCTGAAATTGACAACAGCATTTCTAAGTCTGCAGATAAAACTCATGTAACTCAGATCCTCATAAAATCCTAACAGCCAGTCCCGATAGTGAGCATCATGGCAAAGGCAGGAGGATGCTTGAGCCTAGATGTTTGAGAGCAGTCTGTGCAAAACAGCAAAATCAGCCTCACTAGAAAAAAATTCATAACCAAAGTCACCCAGCTCATTCTTTCTCTTGGAAGTTTATGTGCTGATTCACTGCAGTAGTCTCTACTTTTCTTAGAAATCTAATAATGCTAATTTATAATATCATGTGAAAAGATTATATATAAATATCCTAATTTATTTAGGATGGCACAGTCAAGCACAGAAACCGTATCAAGAATGAAATAGTCTTTGGCCAAACAGACATAACTAGTTTGAAAACAGACTTTATGCTCCACATGCATTACACAGTACAAACAAATCACAACCATTACAACTTAATTTTCCATAAATGACTTGCTATTGCAGTCAAATAAGTATCAATAAATTCTTCTAGAGAAGTTTTATCTCGAATAAACTCCTCAGCATTTGACAGCTATATTATTAAAAATGAAATACAGACTTCAGGGGAAAATTTTAGAAATACAGTTCAACCCTAAATTATAAAGTCAATAGATGCAGGGTATTCAGAAATAAGTGCCCACAGGATCGCACTGGGCACCAGCATCACAGATGTGGGAGGTTACACTAAAGAAAGACACAGGGTGCTGGATTTGCTTCAATAGCTTTTTAGCAGAAACCAAAGAGGAATCCCCTACCCCAGAAGGCGAGGATGACTCCTGGGAATATCCTTGTATCCTTGTATAAATACCAATGGAAATCATTATTTGCAGACTTGGTTACTTATATACACCTTCTGCTTACTTGACATGTTTACATCAGAAACTTGAAGACATTTTCTCTTCTAAGTGTCCACAGGAAATCTACACAGCACATTTGTCCGATTTTCTTTTTTATGGTGCTGGGGCAAAACCCAGTGCCGTTTGCATGCTAAACTAAGTTCTCTACTGAGCTATACCTCAGTCCCTACCAGATTCTTATTAAGTTGCATTCAGTGTTAAATTGATTACATTAAAAAAAACTTAAAGAAGAATTATGTCTCTTTAACAAATGTGTTTATTATTGGTTAATGAAAAAAAAGTCTCCTTTCTGGTAGGTTTTGGCACTAGCTCAGTTCATTTTTAGGGACCAACAAACGAAATAGCATAAATGCGTTAAGTGAAGCTTACGTCTCTTTCACATTAAAGATTTCTGTCTGAGGCAATTGTAGATTCTGAGACAGTTGTAGATCACTAAAGATTCAGATACAGTTTTAAGACAGAGAGTTGAGTGTGGTAGTATATGCCTTTAATCCTAGCACTGGGCAGGCAGAGGCAGGTGGATCTCTGTGAATTCAAGGTCAACCAGGGCTACATGGTGAGACCCTGTCTAAAAAAATAATAATAGTAAAAAAAGAAATCCTGTGTTCATTTTCCCCCATTTAATACTGACTTGGTCAAGATGCAGAAGTCTTCCATCACGACAAGGATCTGCTGTGTTGTCCTTTAGTCACGGGAACCTGTTTGCTCTGCATCGTCTTTCCTGGCAACACCTGATGTATTGTCCATTCTTATAATTTTGCATTTCAGAATGTCATGTGAATGGAATTTCATACTGTGAACACTCTATAGTTGGCATTCATCCCTCAGCATAATTTTCTGCAGATTCATCCAAGTTATGCTTGCATCAATAATTATCTCCTTTATATTGCTGAGTAATATTCCACAGTATAGATGTACCACAATTTATTTTACCACTCACCAGATTAAAAGACACCTATCTTTTTCCAGTTTTTTAATATTATAGATAATTCATATATAGCGTATTCTTTTTATTGTGTGTGCCATTGCCACATGTGCATGCCACAACATGTGTGTGTGTATGTTAGAGGGCAACTTTGTGGAGTCAGTTATCTCTTTCCAGACCTTCAGGTGGGTTCTGGGGATTGAACTCAGGTCATTGGGCTTATGTGGCTAGTGTCTTTACATCTTGCCAGCCTCATCATGTAAAAGCCTTTGTGGGAAAATAAGTTTTCACTTCTCTGGGATCCATGTCTGGTATCCACTGCTGGTCAGAATGGCAGTTGCGTGTTTAGACTTTAAAAGTTATTACTTTTATTTTATGTGTATGAGTGTATTGCCTGCGTGTATGTAAGTGCACCTATGTCAGGCAATGCCCGAGGAGGCCAAAGGGTGTTGGATCCCCTGGAACTGGAGGTACAGATGGTTGTTAGCCACCATGTGGGTTCTGGGAATTGAACCTGGGTCCTCTGCAAGAGAAGCCCGTGCTCTTAACTGCTGGGCCATCCCTCCAGCCCCACGTGTTTACATTTTAAGGAAATTGCCCAATAGCTTCCTAGTGGCTGTTGCATTTATTTCCCAGTTGCAGTGTATGGCTGATCTGCTTCCTTTACGTCCTTGCCAGCATTTGATGTTCTCAGGCTTCTTTCTTTTAGCTGTTTCGGGTAGTGTGAAGTGGTGACTCATTGCGGTTTTAGTTTTCAGTTCCCTGGGGTCTCTTCTCATGCATTTATTTGTCATTTGTGGATTCTCTGCAGTGAACTAAATGGTCTCTCCTATCCTGTTTTTCTAATTGGATTTTAAAAACTATTGAGTTTAGATACATATTGAGAGTAGATACTTATTCTAGTATTTGAGAATATATAATGTCCATAGTCTGGATTCAGCATTCTGTCAGATATGCAGTCTGCAAATATTTTCTGTCACTATGTTGCTCCCCCGCCTGCCCCATTTTCTTAATGGAGTCTTTTGCAGAACAAAACTTTTAAATTGGTTCTAAAGATTTTCTGTTTCTTTCTATAGTTTCATAACTTTACATTTTATATTTATAGATATAAGCTATTTTGGCTTAGTTTTTGTGTAAGGTCTGAGGTTAGCCCAGGGTTTGCTATGGATACCCACATGCTTCAGCGTAGTTGTTAAAGACTGCCCTCTTCATGCTGAATGGCTTTCACACCTTTGTAAAAAACCAGTTAAGCATATTCTATGGGTCTATCAGTAGACTCTCTGTTTCATTCCATAGATCTTCATGTCCATGCCTCCATCAATAGCAAATTGTTTTGAGTATTGTTGATATATAACAAATGTTTCCATTGGGTCAAATGATTTCTATTACTTGATTCTTCTTTTATGATTGTGTTAACTGTTCCAAAGACTGCAAATCTTGGACTATAACTAATTTTTTGTGGTGCTTGGGATTGTAATAGGGCTTTGTGCATATCAGACAAATGCCAGAACACTGAGACACACTGCCATTCCATAATATAACTTTTATAGTAAAATTTTATGTGTTTACTAACTTTGCTGGGATTTTTGTAAAAACCGTATTAAACCAAGAGTTCAGTTTAGAAGAATTGACATCATTCATTATTTTGTGCCTACCAATCCATGAATATGGTATCTCTCATTTGTTTAAGTGCTTGATTTCTTTTGCTAGCATTAAATTTTTTCAAATCATAAAAATCCTCTGCATGTTTTGCTAACTTTATACCCCAAGTATTTAATTTTCTTTGGAGTGACTGTATATGTTATAGGGTTTTAAATTTTAGTTTTCATATTTGTTGTTAGTACATGGAAATGTGATTAAGTGTTGTGCACTGATCTTGTAATTCTGAGACCTTGCTGTACCGACTACTTCTAGGTTTGTTGAAGTTTTTAAAAAGTAGATTATTTGGAATCTTCTATGTAGACAACTATGTCATCTATAAACAAGGACACTTTTCTTTCTTCCTTCCAATTTTATGCATTTAATATTTTTTCCTTGCTTTATTGCCATGTCTAGAACTTCCAGGTCAGTCCTAAAAATTTAATTCAGTGTGAATTACTGGAAATTTTCCAAAAACAAATTTGTCTGAACTGGGCCCATTAGACTCAAACCTGTGAGTTTTCAATGTTGTTCTTATTGTCTGGCCTGTTGAGATTTCATTTCCTCTAACTTTGATAAGTAGCTGATAAACAAATTAGTGGCTACAAATGGAACCCACTCTTCAAAGCCCTTTGAAGCATCAGGGACTCTCAACGAACTAGATGGAACCCGATTATACCAGCTAACAGTCTTACTTACTGGTAAAACTGGACTGTGAGGAAATGATGTGTCAAGAATCAAAGTCTGGGACTGATTTATGATGTAGTTTTTAACATGCAGTTTGTTTTTCTAATTTTCCTTCTTCTAAATTAGGAGTAGCAATAACTTTAAACTCTGAAAATATGGAATACCATAAAAAATCTACCATATGATTATGTATTAGAAATTGCCATTGTTAGGGACACTTGTGAACTGCCTTTTATCGAATGAAAGAATATTGTGCATCTCATTAGGTTTTTAGTAATAAGTACTTAAGTGTATTTTGACAACTCAAACTCTCTTCATGTTTTAAAATTACAGCCACTGATATTTCTGAAGAATGTATATTTCCTGTATTGGTATATTTTTATGTGATACGACACACCTAATCCATCAAAGAGAGTTTCTAGTCATTACAGAAAGATAGAAAACTTGGATACTATTAGATCCTTTACAGATTTCAGTGATGAAGGCCTTGATGGTGAGCACTTTGGTCCATGTAGGCCTTAAGTATGAACACAGTTTCAGTCTAGTACTTGTAAATAATGTGCAGAGAAACTTAAATCTGTAGTTAAGAATCCAGGGTCCCTGTCCACAGCAGTGACATATGATCTATGGGCAAGATTAGTCATCCTCCTTTGCAATCACAGCCCTGGCTGGATGGTCCCTGTGCTTTTCAGTAACTTTCATTCTCAAAACGTAAACATTTGGAGGTAGCATCCATCTACTGTGTGCAGTGAGTTCAGGATTCTGACCTTGGGATACTGACTGGCCCTCTCTGAGCTTCAGTTTCTTTGTCTGAGACACTGATGGTATGCATCTTACTGAGTATAGGGCTTAAGTGAGGCGATGTCTACTGAGGCACTGGTCCAGGGTTGGGCAAGGAGAAGACCTTCAGAAGAGTGCCTTCTCTTATGAGAATTGCCTTGCTTTCTCTGTTGTGCTCTCTCCCCTGTCCCCTGTACACAATGTGGAAAGAGGCGCTTCTTATGTTGTATGCCACATCTCAAGCACGGAACAGGGCAGCTTCTGCTGGAAACATGAGCAGTGAGGATCTGGGAAGCTTGATGGCAAAGCTCTCCCACTCCTGTTGTTATTCCTCCATAGACTGCTTACACAGAGCAGGCCTGGGCACAAAGCTGCATGTTCTTACTTTGCCTGCGTGTTACAGCTGGGGAAAATGCTCCCTAAGCGATTAGTACATTCTAGCAAATGTGACTCAGGAATATATTGGCAATCCAGTAACATAATGAATAACTTCAGATAAAAAGCTCTCCACCATCCCCCTGAACACAAGGCCCTGCTCTGTGCCTCATGTTCAACTCTTTTTATGCAATGAGCTTTGATTCAAGGCACCGATTTTGACACAGAAAGCAACACTATGCTTTCACAATATGAAGCAATGACGTTGCATGTACAGGCATAATTTTTTTTCTTAAAGACCGGAACAGCAACTATCAGTTTCATTTTTGACAACTGTGACTTCCAAATGGGTGTGTCTGGACTGAATACAACATAAACAACAGCTATCTATATGAAGTACCTGTGTGAACTGTGGATCTGCAAATGACCACTTGAATCTCAAGTCTGGCCCGAGGTTTCCTGTTTATCCTCTCTCATTCTGCCATAGGATGACAGGGTGGCTAGGAACCCTTCTACAAAGAGACAGCAGTCAGGAGCTGCCTGGCTCCTTCACTTTCAAAGGTTTTCATTGGAATGAAAGCTCCTAAGTTTCCGTGTTAGTCTGTCAGGCCTTTCTGGGAGCTGCTTTGAAATACTCCTCTCGTGAGATGTCGGATATACCTCCGTACCATTTCAGAAGCCAGATGTGTTCTATACTCATCTTCATGAAGAACCATTCATACTGTCGAGGCCATTTCCTCATTCCTGGATGCCTGCAGGAGCAAAGGGAGATTACAGTGAACCTGTTCTTATTGATGAGTGTACCTCAGCCTGCCATGGACCTCCAGTCTCTAGGCCTGATTTGGGCCAAGAACCGCTCAACCGAGCCAGAGTCAGAAGTGGAAGAGGTGGGCATCAGGGGCTGGAGTAGTCTTAGGAAGGCAGGAAGCTGTAATCTCTACACCAAAGTAGCTCAATGCTCAATTCTAGAGCTGGTTTGAATTCTGGTTCCATTGGCCATGAGCTCTGATGCTATGGTTGCTCCCATGGCCGTCTCCTTACCTGTCATGTGATGAGAGTGATGGTGCGCATCACGGGCTCTATGGCAAGCAAACAGGACACTCACATAGAACATTTGCATCTGGCCAGTGCTCAGTGGATACTGGTGATTTCTAGTAGGAAACATCAGGAAAGGCCATGTGCATTTTCATATGAGATGTAACGAACAGTGGGCATGTGAAATGTGTCTCTTCATGGAGAGATTTCTATTTACGCAGGAGGCTGAGAGCCAGCCAGCATGAACAGAGACTCTGCATTTCTCTCTGCTGTATTGATGCCTGCTTTCTCCTGCAGGGGCCACGGTTCACCTATTTTCTAATTTTTAAAAATATTTTTTTATTATTTTTATTTTATGTGTATAAGTGTATTGCCTGCATGTGTGTACATGCACCCATATCATGCAATGCCTGTGGAGGTCAGAAGAGGGCGTTGGATCCCCTGGAACTGGAATTACTGAGGGTCGTTAACTGCCAGGTGGGTGCTGGGAATTGAGCCTGGGTCCTCTGCAAGAGCAGTCAGTGCTCTTAACTGCTGAGCCATCTTTCCAGCCCCCCCCATATTTTCTAATTTTATAAAAATAAAAATTTCCCTTAGGTCTAAAGATGCTATAAACACAATTCAAAGCCTAGCTGTACACAGAGGAAAATCGAGCTAAGTAGATTTTTGGAGCACTGTTTGGGCACTGATGGCTATGAAGGCTCAGTTGCTTTCATTACAAGGCGGGGTATTGGCAAAGGTTGGAATGCGTGGGAATTGTGCCTGAACCACACCAATGCAGGGTGTCCTCCAGGAGTATCCACTGTGGACGGCCTGGCTTCTGTATCCACCACCGACACCGGTGGCAGCTGGTCAGGGGTTGGCCATGTTGCCAGCAGGGGCCAGCATAGATCAATCACTGTCTATCTTGGGACAAACCATTTTTGTTGCCATTTAAAAAAAATGGACAAGCTCTCACAAAGTAGCTTAGGCTAGCCTTGAACTCACTATGTAGCCCAGGCAGGCTTCAACTCCCAACCCTCTTGCCTCTGCCTCCAAAATGCTGGATTTATACGCATGCACACCTGGATTTCAGCAAACCTATTTAAAGCATCTTCACACCTTGAAAACATGGCTTGCTTGGCGAATTCTCCTTCTTCAGGAGGCACAACGATCATTCGGCCAGTGAGTGTTAACCGGGCACATCGGGGATCCTCTGGGTCGACGATGTTTTTTCTGCACAGGAAGAACATTTTTCATATGTGAAAGCAATGACAGGGCATCAGCCTGAAATACCGAGGACTTTATTGAAAATACAAAATAGTCAGTACATCAGAAGTACTCTGGATGAGGCTCTGCATGCCTGGGGAATGGGTTTTGTTCTTGTTGCTGTGGTAGTTTGGCTTTTCTGCTGAAGGCCAGTTCCCAGCTTGGCATTATTGAAAGAGGATGTTAACTCTGAGAGGTGTGAGGGTGAGGATACCTAACACTGTGATGATGATGGCCCCCACTGACCTGTTATCTGACAACCCCACTCTGTCTCAAGAGACCCATAGGCAGAAAATTCCTGACTGTCCCTGGGGTTTTAGCTCAGCTTCAACCCACTGCTTGAAACAGCCTCTTGAATTGCTTCTTATCCATCTGTCCTGACTGGTTCTTGAGCCTCTCCTCCATGGTCCTGTGTCTGCAGCTGACCCAGCCTCAAAGCCCTGCGGTCCAGCTCAACCCAGAGATCCCACAGCTCTACTCTCTATGTCTTCAGCAAACTTTAACTGTGTTTCTTAATATCTAACCAGTTGCAGTAACTATTAACATCTTGGTCCTCTGCCTCTGCCTCCCGTGAGGCCTCTTTAACTCTTTCATATCCATTTTACAGGGTACATATTTTTACACATGGATATAGTTACTATGTGATATGTAATGTATGATCTGAGAGTTAATGTTAGTAATTGAGATTGAACTAAGAGAACCCTTACTTGCCAATGGCCAGTTATCAAAGGAAATTGTGACTACTTGGCAATTGCAACCAACATGTAGCTTGTGGATTTGTTATTCAATAACTTCGAACACTGTGGGAAGATAACAAATGTGTCCATCTCTGTTTCTGGCATAACATGGTCAGGGCATCTTGTCCCCTAAACTAGCCATAAAAGCGAAAAGTAGTCCTCTAACTTTCTCCTGTTTTTCTGTATTGAGCGCTGTCCACAAAGAAATCCTCAGCTCTAACTATGAGTAGATCATGAGAAACCCATTCAGGAAGGCCCTGTCCAGGAAGGAATGCTGCTCAGAGAAGCCCAGAAGAGCCTGGGCCCAGCCCTGCTGGGTTTCCTCAATTAGCTCAGACTCCTTCCTCCAATCACTTTTCTACATGGCTGTCCACACTTCATCAATCTAAGCTTAAAAATCGACAGTTTGCCTTGGCTCTTCAAGTTGTCAACCTGAAAGCTCCTGTGGCTATTGTAGGGGTGTTGACTGTGACTGCTGTGAGAGGAGATCACCCCTATAGTCCTCTACATATTGGAAAATAGGGAGTCCTGGGGTGGAAGGAAAACAAAAATGATGTATATACCAGAAAACCAAGGCTCAACAGGACCAAACCAGCATTCTGTGAAGAAAAGCCTTGAACTTTTACCAAGTTCAGCACTTGAAAACTGTGGTGAACCTGAGTGGTGCAGAATTTTTAAATTCAGTATATTCAGGTCAGGAGGTAAACCTGATCACTCTAGCAATTTTCAAACCTTGAAAAGTTTTGCTAGATTTGACAAAAATCATTCCTTTGGGCATATTCCAATTCCTAACATTGTGTCTGTGTGGCGGTCCCATCAGCAAACCTCGAAAGGCTCTCTCTCTCTCTCTCTCTCTCTCTCTCTCTCTCTCCATTTTGACTTATTTTAATAATACCCATCACACAACTTTGTTAGCAAATCTCAGAGTTTTGTAACCTTTGCCCACTATTTCTTTTTCTAAGGAAGATTTACAACCAAAGTTCCCAGCACCTCAATGCTGTTTACTATTTCCCTTCCATAGTACTTTTAATTTAGTGCACTTATACCACATGTTTTTATATTTAATTACTTGTATAGGCATCAACTGATGTCTTGCTTTCTGTATATTGAATATAATGTACATTTATCAAATCATAATCCTTCTGCAACTTATGCTTTCTACCAAGTTTATTTTGAAGATCTATTCATGTTGACAGCATAGAGTTCTGGTTCAGTTATCCTTGTTTTCCGTGTAGTAGCCTATGGTAAAAACATTTATCAAATTTATTTATTCATTCCACTTTAGTTGCCCCGTTTTCAGTTTGCTGTGGTTATAAATGATTCTGCAGTAATCATTCCTGCACAGGACTCCCTGGGCACATATTTGAGAGTGCTGTTGGTTCGTATTATTTTTTGGCTTTGCAAAGTATTTTTGCAATTTATATTCTGAGTAAGAATGATCCCGTGGCTGTTTATTCTCTCTGACACTAGATATTATCAGACTAAATTTTCTCAGCTGAAGGTTTCAGCAGTGTTTCTGCTGCATCTCCTTGATAGTATAGGAAGCTAAACATGTTTCTGTATTTATTGTGCATTGGATTTTCTTTTCCTGCCTGTTTTCCTGTTGGGTTAAATGGTTTGCCATTTAAAAATTGATCTATAATTATATTTTCATGCTCCAGATACAACTTTTTCTCTAGATATGTATATATCTACGTTTAAGTCTAAACCTAGCTATCTAATATGTACTATAAGCCAATATAAAAATATTGGCTGGTGGGGGTGGTGAAGAAACTGCTCAGCACTTAAGAGCTCTGGCTGCTCTTGCAGAGGACCCAGGTTCAGTTCCTATAACCATATTGCAGCTCACAGCCACCTGTAACTTCAGTTCCAGGGGATCTGATGCTCTCTTCTGTCCTCCATGGGCATTGCACACACATGATGCACTTATATACATGCAGGCAAAACACTCATACACATAAAAATAAAAATAAGTAAATTCTCCAAATTGCCTGGGCCATCCTCATAGGAAGAAAACATTTGTAATTCCAAATGCATATAGTATGAGTCAGTTTTTCATCACCGTTTCAATGTACCCGAGCACAGCTTAGGGGAAGGAGGAATTTACCTTGGCCCATGGTTTCACAGGGATCAGTCCATTGTCAGCTGGCTCTATTACTTTGGGCCTCAAGCACGGGATAGAGCAAGGCTGCTCACTTAACAGTGGACAGGAAGCAAAAAGGGAAACAGGAGGAAGGGACAGTGACAAGGTATATCTCATGTCCCTAATCTACTTCCCCTAGCTCTGCCTTACTGAGTTTTCATTGGGTGCCAAAACTTTGCTGCCAGTTGGGGACCACGCTTTCACATATGAGTCTGTGGGGTATATTTTATATCTAAACCATGGCATTCTGCCTGGGCCTCAGAGGCTCATAGTCATCCCATAATGTAAAATGCATTTAGTCCAATACTTCCAATATTTCCCAAAGTCTAAACAGTTCTAGTATGGCTTAAAAGCTAAAGTCCAAAGTCTCTTCTGAAACTCAAGGCAAACTTAGCTATAAGCTTCTGTTAGCAAGTTACAGACTTACACTATACATTGGCACAGAGTAAACATTCCCATTTCAGAAAGGAAGAATTGGGGGCACAGAAAGGAGGAATGGGAGGAAAGTAAGATCAAAACCTATCAAGGTAAACATTGAAGACTGTAGGTCCATGTCTAGCTCCACAGCACACAGCAGTGTGAAGTAAGTGCTAATGCTCCTGGTCAGCCCTTTACATCCTATGGCCTTGATGTTTGGAGCCCACATGGCTTCCCTTTGTGTTGGTTCTATTTGCTGCCTGTGGCTTTCCTGGGCAGATGTTTCCTGTTCCTGGCGACATCCATGGTCTCTATTGCAGCTTTGAGTTCATCCTTAAAATTTTACCTTACCCTCTCTGGGGCTGCCTGAAGGGATTCCAACCATGCCACACATTGCTTGGCCTCCCAGACTTTCCTTTGAAATCTGGGTGTAAGCTTCCATGGAACCGGCATTCCTGCATTCTGTGTGCATGCACAATCAGCATGCATGCAGACCATGTCAAGGTCTGCCACCAGCTCCAGGAGGATCCAGTCCTTCTTGGACTGAGTCTTTGTGAGCTCTTGAGTACCTATACAGCTGAGCAGAGTGAAATGAATCCTGGGGGAGGAATTTCTTGGGGGACTCTGGTGTTTACCTCTCTGAGCAAAGTCTTTCAAATGAATTTATGCCTTTACACGTTTAGGCTGGAAGTGGGTGGAGTTTGGCCAGTTCCTGGATGCCCTTTAGACACGTTCCTGCTGTCTTGATGCAGAGTATGTGGCTTTTAAAAACAGATTTATTTTATTTTAAATTAGTGTATGTGTGTTTGTGTGCATATATGCATTTGAGTACAAGTGCATATGGAGCTGGAGTTACAGGTGGTTGTGAACCACTCAAACTGGGTGTTGAACTCAGGTCCTCTGCAAGAGCTATATACTAAAAACTGAACCACCTCTCCAGCCCATGATATCTTTTACTAAGGCTAATCTGTTTGGGAACACCATGTTCTTTACCCCAAATTTGACAACTGAGTCTTTTCTTGCTAAACATCAAGTTTCCCCAAATCTTCCCGCTCTCCTCCCCCACCCCTGAGTCTCATTATAAATCTAACTAAAAACATCCAGAAAAACACATGGCAAAGCCTGAATGCTGGGTTGTCTTCAAAGCTCCTTTTCCAGGGCAATTGTCTGCTACCTTTACATTTAGCCTCCTACAAAATCTCCAGGCCTGGATGAAGTATAGAAAAGACCTTCACCACAGTGTAACACGTACAATCTATAGTCAGTTCTCAGGGAAGTCCTTGCTCCCACCTGACATCAAATGTGCACAGTCTTTGCTGTTGCATTCTAACCAAAATTCTGGTCTGAGCCTCATGAATCATCCACTAAGCCCTTGTTCACAGTGTTCTCGGGCTTCTCTAGACTGAATCCCAAATTTCTAAATTTGTCCTGCAAAGTAGTTCCAAAAGATTCTAACCCACAGTCAGATTTTATCATAGCAACACCCCTACAGAAGCAAAGCAATTTTTCACTGCTGTGACAAAATACCCAAGTAAAACAATTAAAGGGAGGAAAGGTTTATTTGGGCCTTTGGATCTGCTGTTTCCATGGCTGTGGCCCAAAGGGAGATGGAATATCAATGGTGGGAAGCGTGCAGGGGAGCAAACAGTCTCACTTCAGCATGGGCAAGA